ATGCTCTCTCAGCATCTCGTCATTTGCTGTACATATCATCTATCAAGCGCAGTCTACAAGTTGGTCATATGATCACAACGTAAATTTTACATAGTAGTGGCCGTCGGCACATGACTTTTCAGTGATGTAAAACCTACATTGTAATTCTCTGTAACCCAATTTGCTCTGTAAAATTCTGCTGTGAAGCGCAAGACTTACAATCGACAATTGTCACTTGACATTTTTGTGAAGTGTACTGTCTGTCAGCACTGGACTTAATTTGGTTAAGTTGACAACAGTCTTTGTAAGTTTTACCCAAAAAAGGTCCAATGGCAACACGGCCAATGGTTTTCATACTTTTTTTTTATAATTTTTTTTTTATTTTGCTGACACCCGTTATGCTCATAATCATTACTTTGTGTTTCCCCAAGTGAAAATTGTCAAATGATGATTTGTGCTCATGCAGTTGGAATACTGAACTTGATGTTTGAGATCGTTTGTAGCTAGTATTTTTGTAAGTGTAGGATCTCTTTGCACACTTAGCATCCTGGGCAAATGCAGTGGAACGCCACTATAACGGACATCGCGGGATCCACAGAAATTGTTCGTAATAGCGATCGTTCGGTATAGCGATTTTAAAGCTGCCGGTGCTCCGGTACTCGCTTTCCTGCTCGCCCTGGTAGTTACTGAAAGACGACTTTGAACACGTGCCGACTATTGAATCATGCAATTACATAGTTTTTTAGCTTACTACCTACACTGTACAGCAATGGGTGGCTTTCCCCTTCCATTCCTTGGGAAAATAACAGCCACTTGTCGCTCTTCTGTTGACATTTTTCAACAACAGTGTTCAGTACACGGGAGCCAAACACGATGTTTGGTATAGCCGAATGTTTGGTATAGCGGTGTTCGGTTTAGCGACATTCCACTGTAGTTCAATTTATTTGAAATTCAGCTGAACTACTTAGAACCTTTGCAACTTTTTATGCGCTTGTTTTCTTTGACACTAAAAGAAAGTAAGACAAACCAATGCATTATATACACACGCACGCTGTTTTGATTTAAAACCCAAGCACTTGGAAAATATGGGGGTTCAGATATGTATGTTTTTTGCCTGTACAGTATTTTAATGTACAATAATTATCATAATGTAAATTTCTTTTATACAAAATAGAGTGCAAAACTGATGAGTACTTTTAAGTGAGCCAAAAAGACAATCAAAATCCATCCCCCCCCCCCCCATTTTGGGAAAGTGTGGCAGATAAGCCATGTGTAACAAGTCCATCAAAATCCAGGAGCACCAGTGGTGGATTTCAATGGATTTGGTCCTGAAGCATTATGGTGAAGCAGAGTCAGTGATGGATTTTGATGGACATGGTTTTCTACTTAGTAAAACTAAGTAGGGAGTTAGGATTTCTAAAAAAAAATGTAAAAAAAAAAAGGTAACAAGATTGTGTTAGGTACCATTTGTTTTGCCATTTCTGGAAATGATTCTTGATAAAAATCATTTTACAATCACAAAGATTTTATTTGAGACTTAGTAAATATTTTTTTTTATATATTGTAACTTATTTGAGAGTAAACTGGGCAATGATTGTAGCTCGCACATCTTGGTTTTTTTTTACTTTTATTGTTTTATTTTACCAGGGTAGCCCCATCAGTTATCTAAGAACTGTTCTCCCTGTGGGCCCTGGATGAACCTCTATAGTCAATTATTTTGTTGAACATTTGAAAAAAAAATACAAAGACAGTATAAAGGGTATGACAGCACAGCTCTTATAATCACATGGACATTGCCCCTAAAGGTTACAAAGTGTTAAACATTAACAGAACTCTTTACAATTTCTCCAACTTTTCACATGTACATCTTTTTAGGTTTTTGGTCAGTTTTAAAAATAACACTGATAACTAAGAAGATATATTAAGAGAATTTTTGTTTTACCTTTCAGTGTGTGTGTATATAAATTCACTGTTGGAAAGTACAGTTGCCTTATCTTTTTGGTCACACCTCTACTGCTAAAAAAATATTTTAAAAAGACTCCAAGGGTTAAGCACTGCTTAGGAGATAGAGACATTATATATAGCTCCTGTTACTTCTTATGTATATCACTTTTTGGTTGTATTTGGATTAGATGTATTTGGATTAGATGTATTTTTACTTTATTGTATATATATATTCGAACTAAGAACTCGGGCAGCTTGTTTTACAAAAGTGTCTAAATACTGATTTAAGAAAATGTTTATGAAGAAATGTACATGTATATAAAAGCTGAACAATTATATTTTGCAACCAGATTTTCCCCTAGCCCCATACCCAGATAGCATGGTGAGTTCATTTTAAGGCAAAGGTAATTCAACAGTTGAGATTATAGAACTAAAAAAACTTCACTTTTTTTTTTATTTGTTGCACTGACAGTTTTAGAAAGGAAGAAAGGCAAAACGCATCCTTTCAATTTAATTTAAATGTCTTAAAGTAGAAACTTCTGAAGGCCTTAATTGTAATCACCTGCATATGCAAAACAAAATAGATTTAAAAAAATCATTTTTAGATTTGGGTAACTGTTTTATTGATACTCATTCACAAATAGTTACTACATTTGGTGTTTATTACTTGTTATATTTACTCAAGAATTACATTTTTTTCTCACTTTACTTGTGTATAACCCTGAATTACCTCCCCAATTCACTGAAAACAAAATTATGGTAATATAATCACAAGTACGTGTATAATTTAATGTATATAGCGAAATATGTTTTGTACAGTTTTTACATGTCCAATTGAATTAAGTGCACACAGGACATGTACATTTACTCATTTGTATCGACGTCCGTAGGCCTACGTTATCACAAAAAGTGGAAATGTGGAATACGCTTTTGGGGTACCTCGGTGCTTGAGTCAAATGTACTGCGCTACGAGGAAATGTTACTCTCAAAAGAAGACTGGTTAAATATTAAACAAATAATCTAAATTGCCCAAATGCACTTCATAAATTGTTTGAAACTTCTTCAGAAACCATGTCGCAAGAATAAAACAAATCTTAGAAATACTAAGTTACAATTGACCTAAAATGTATTTATTGTATATTTGTAGAAAATATGATTTTATAAGCTTGTACTGTCATTTGACATTATTGAGGGCGTACTTTCTCAGTATTGCATTTTAACAAAATAAACGAATGGGCAGTATGCTGCTATATTTAGTTTTGTTGAGGTACGTGCACGTGTTGAAATGGGCGTTTGAGTTGTTGAAGTAAATGAATCTGTAATCGCTAATCCCATTTTTAGATGGATTACACTTCAGACTTGATGACTGTACTTCGTGCCGAAAACAAAATACTCATTTCGTGGCTGTAATGCTTATAAATCCCAGTTATTCCCAGAAGAAATTAATACATGTATAATTATATTTCAATGCTAAATCCCAAATATGCTATCATCACACTTAAAATAGCCAGGAGATTTTTTTTTTTTAACTGGCAATGACCAGGAACATTTTACTTTCGCCCGCCACTTTTTCTTGCGAAAACGGAAGAAATGTATTGAGAATGCTGGTATACCCGCTCATATAATTTTTTTTTAAATCTACGTGGGTCTCAGTACTGCGCGGTTATGCAGGCGGGTGCATACCTATCAGGGGTGTGAAATCTTTAAAGCTGATTTCAGCTTTTTTTGTTTTGGATTTCAGCTTTTTCCCCTCACTTGCTGTGAACAAAAGTATATGAAATTTCCAAAGTTCAGCTTTTTTACACCCTTTTCAGCTGTTTTCAGCTATTTTTATCAGTGGTCACTCACACCCCTGCCTATGTTCCCCAATACCGATGTTTCCCGAAATCCCTACCATATACCCTAGCCCTAACCCTAATCCTGAGGATTTCGGGGAACATCGGTAGTGGGGAACATCGGGTAGATACCATGCAGGCGGCATGTTTGCCTTTTGGTGCATGATTGAAGAAACCCGAATCCACATATCAAACTGTGAATTTTTTTTAAAGGAGATTCAGGGGAAGGGTGGTTGGGGTGGCGAACTCCTTCCCCCGCCCCCTCTCCCAAAATGTTTGATCCACCGCAAAAAAAAATGTGGAAGAAAAGAACTGACTTTCAGAAGTAACCTCCAGCAAGGGGCTCCGGGAGCCCCTTGCTGTCTAGTCGGAGTATCATCCGTTGGACAACGGATGATACTCCGACTAGACAGCGTATTAACGAATGGCGGGAAAAAAGATGGGTGACTCTCAGAAAATCCCCTCGGCAGCCCCCCCCCCCACCCCACCCACCCACAAAGATCAAACAAAATCATCCGTGACTCGACTCGAGGAAGGACTCACTTGGTAGGCCTACTTGGTACTTGGTGGTTATCCTCCTGAATACTCCACGTGGAAGTCTAACAAGGAGGCCTTTACCTTTACCTTGTGGATAATCATGACTAGTCTCTTTTTTTTATGGGGAATGTGAATTTATGGGGGAAAAATCCAAGTTCAAAATATCTTTTTTGGTTACTGAACTAGGATACTTCCAAAGCTCTTTAATGGAAGAAAATCTACCTTGAATTCCTCAAATTAAAGAAGTATTATATGTATAGCACATGTATTCAATTAGACCCACATTAAACGTATTATGTCGAGAATTGTTTTGAAAAAAATGCTGCAACGTTATTATATACTGAGTGGAATATTTACGAACGGATTACATTTTTTTAAAAATAATTTCATGGATTTGATTGGCTTAAAGGGGATAATTCCCTTGTGCCTGAGCAATGTGTTGGTAGCTACTTGGGAAAAAATAACGGAACTGACAAGCAGGCATGATGTGATTTTTTTTGCATGCGGCGCGGGTATATGTGGCGTAATACTAAGAAAAACACTATGACTGTTCGTATCGTACGCGAACCATATTATGATGTCGGCCATTTAAGAAGTAAATTCCGTTATTGCATCATTCCAGATGTGGCAATTGTGAAATATCGGCATTGTCATTGTCCTGCATGGTTCGATGTCAGGCGAGCGCGAGTTGTTCAATTTTTGGACCCCCCACTCGGATGTAGCTATGACGATCGTGTGAGCGGGGGTGTGACGAGGCCTAATGTTTGCCAATTGCCATTCACGAAATTCTGCGCATATAAACCTTTGGTCGGCGGTAAAATATGATTCGATTTTTATCGCAGTAATTTGTAAAAAGTCATTTCTGTTGCAAAAAAAAATTGCAGTCTGTAACGACAAGTCAAATTTCAACAAGCACTTCTACGTATCGGCTATCTTTTGTATGCAGATTACATCCGGAAGTGTTGACATTATGTTGACAGTGACGTCAACGCCCACAAATCCTGAGCGATGATTGGTCAATCGGGGACACACCTCCAAAATCCTCTTGTATCCGGGCCAGCTGTTGAACCGCAGACATACTGGTACCCGCGTTGTACGGTACGCATAGGCCGTGACGTGAGACCAACGCGGAGAGAATGCTATGCAATCGCCATGCAATCGCCATGCACATCGATCACTGAGCTTTCAGTCGACTAGTCCACGCAGCTGTAACGACACGAATCAGCTTTTTATCCCTGATATTTTGCTGTCAACACTCAAAGGACGGAGGAGGTAAATATCTTTGTGTATATGCTTGTACATAATTTTTCTAAAATCATTGATTTGTTGGAAAGAATGCAGTATGATCCAGCTTTTTCGACATTCGTAACGCGTAACGCATGATCTTGGCCTATCTAGCTAGTCAACCATGTTATTGTTAATGCTGGAGGACGGAATCCTAAACCATGACTTGCAAGTTGCAAGTTTCATATTGCCTAAGCAATGCGGATATACGGATCCTGCACAATATAGGAAGTGTGGTATTTAGATGCTGTTCTCAACCTGGGTATTCAAACGAAATTCATTGTTAGAAACTTAAAATTCATGAAATTGTGAAAATATTCTCTCTTTTTTGGTTAAACCTCCCCGACCCCAGTCCCTCATAAATTGTCATATTTTTCCTCTCTTGCTTAAAGTTAATTGTGCCTGCACTTCCTCTGGACATGTGCACGTAGTCCCAAAGTTTAAAAGTAGATTTTCGTTCTCTATAGGAACGGGGTCCGCAACTACAAAAACGCCATAAATGTGGCCTATTTACTGGACTACCTCCGTAAATAAAGACCACACTAGCAGATTTACTCACAACGTTAGCACTTGTTACCAAATTTATTTTCACATTCAGACTGCCGTGCATAGTTGATTTATGCTTTAAAAACACACTCATCTTGTAAATAACAAATAAAAATTGATGCGCAAGTGTTCAACTCTCCAGTTTTCGTGTCTTTTCCAGCTCCATTTGGAGGCTTCTTGGCAGCCGTTAAACTCAATTGCAACCATGTTCCAAATGAACAATGCTCTCGCGCAATACCTGATGGGATACATGGATCGTTCACCTGTCAGTCACGCGCCGCGCCGCATGCCTGATGGCTATTGTGTATGTAACAGTATCTAGAATGCAGCATGATAATGATAAACATTGAGCATTATCTTTTTGCAAGGTTTCTATCTATCTATCTATCTACGCGGGTACTCAGCAAAGTCCACTTCTGGATGTTAACGCTGAGGTGAAGTTTAAGGTGCATGTGAAGCTTCTCCCACTTTGCGGGGGAGGCTTTTTGCCGCATTGCTGATTTCTTGAACACATACACACACCTCTTCCGCTTTATTGTATACATGTAGCTGTGACTGTAAGGCCGAATAAAAAAAAAACATGTTTCTCGTCCGGGTTTTCAAAAAAAAGGAGGAAGCGGGGCTTTTATTTTTTATTTGTTTCAAGATGGCCGCCATTTAAAATTTCCTGCAATTGTTGGTGTTTCCACTGTTCAAAGAAACTTTTAAAATGAAAGATAAGTTGGACAAGAGAACTGAACATATTTACAGTGTCATTTAGACTTGTATTGGTCTACAATTTATTTCCCGATGAATTTGTGGACTTTTTCGGTGTTTTTCAACTGCATTTTTCAAAAATAAAAAATAATAAAAAAATCCAGGCGGCCTCCAAAAAGGAAGCGGGCGGGCGGTTTCAATTCAACAAACAACCCCCCAAATTAACACATTGTTAGTTTATACAGATCTCAAATTAAGAAATTGTACAGATGATTGAATTGTTCTGGGAAAAAAAGTCTAATGTCTAAGTTGAATTTAGTGTTGAACCATGGATATCGTACTGTGATGATGACTGAATGCCAGATTTATTTGGTCTGTGTCTGGTTGTCTGTGTCTTATCCTAGAAATGTTGACTGTGAAGCTATGTGCACAATACAAGTCAGGGTCAGCACAGAATTGTTGGTCGATCCACTCATAATATATCATTTGCAGGAAGCTTCATCCACAGCTCAGTTAGATTTTTCCAATTTCTTAAAATGTACATGTACATGTATGACTCAAGCTCAAAAGCAGTAGTTTAGAATGTTGCCTTTTTGAAATCTTTCCCTGGACTTAAAGTTGTTGTGCATATAAATCACACTTATTCTGAAACCAGATTTAAACATCATCTGGCAAGAGCTACATGTATTGTAGATAGAACTACATGCTGATAATACCCTCTTAAATTATTAAACATTATTACGGGATACATGTATGTGGCTTGGAAAAGTCCCCTATATGAAATCACTATTTTGTGTTGTTTTTCATCACTATCAGTATCAGAAATGTGCCGGTACATGTCACAACACAATATTGAATTGTCAAATGGTGATTTCATCTAGGCAACATTTTCTGAATGGTGTTTGTATCCTTCAAGGGTATCATTTCTCACGGTCCCTGTTATCCACTGGTAAATGCACGCATACACATGCGGGTAGCAAAACTGCAACAGGTGAATTTGTTTCTGTTTGTCTAGATCCCATATTTGACACAGCTTAACTGACAGCTGTTTGCTAAAAAGTTAACATCCAACTATTCAGGTCATCCTTACAAGCGCAGCAAAACATTCAATATTTAATTGATAAAATACACAGGGCAATACAGGCAGATCTAAGCTATAAAAGCAGTATGGTGCTGGCAAACATACAGACTGTAACGTACATTGCAGTTGGCAGAATTGCAGCAGTTTATGAGCTGTACTGTTATTAGTTTGCTATCTTTTTATAATCAGCTATTTGTTCGTAAATGTGTGCAGATAATTGATAGGGATCTATAGTGCAAGGTTTAACAACAGTGATAGTGCAACAGGGATAGACAGACATGACATTTCTGCTGGCATGATGTACCGCCAACCTATGGCTAGTCTCGATTCCAAGACGTCTTTGTGGTGCGATGTTTCAGCGAGCATGGATTATTGGACTGTGCAGCGATTCACCGAAGCAGGCACCCGCAACACACACGCTAATAGCTACAGGCTGCAAAGGATGTCTTGGGAATTTCGTATTTCTGCTTGGGAAATTTCGGACAGAATTGTGTGTGCATAAATTTGCATATAGGCCTATGCGCTTGACGTAAGCATGTCCGGTTTACCATGCCTGTACAGCATGCAAGCGAGCTGTTGAATAAAAAAAGTCAACCATGTGGACGAGCAATCAATTTGGCAGCAAAGTAGGAAGGCTAAAAATCATTGCTCTCCATCAATTTGGACGTGGCCATGATTCAACAGAACTGGTAGAAATTGCACGTGTACTGTACGTCGCCTGACTAATAGTTTTCGTAACAGCTCTTTGTTTCCACCGATGCGCATGTGCTGCTATTTTACATGAAGTCACACACTGTTGCAATGCGAAATTCTCAAGACGTCCGAGTGGTTTGTGAATGTGAACATGTACATGCATGCTGTTTCACGGAATACAAAAGCTGTACCATCTATCGTGAACTACCCCGCTATAAGAACATCTTGCACCCAGACTAACTTATGGCAAGGCCAATTGTGGGAAGTCCATGGGCAGTGGGAGGGGGGGGGGGCCTCCCCCATCAGATATGAACCAAAAAAGGAGTGAGGGAATAAGATGTGAACATTGAAAATCAGTAGTGTTGTTGATTTACAAATTAAATAGATGCTGGAAAGGGGCTTAAAATGCTACCAAGCATACCAGTAGTAAATAATTTGAACAACACCTTTTAGAATTGTCCACAGCCAGAGATTTCTTGGTGCGCCACATGCTTATTCAGTACTTTGTCCTCCCTCTAGAAAAAAAATTCTGGTGATACCTGTGAGTGTGACCATGTCACTTGAGTTCTGTTGTGACTGTTATTCTTAAAGGGAATATACATCATTTGCTTTTGCTGTAATTTTTAGAAATGGATGGAATTGGGGGGTTGGAAATATAAAGCAAATATAGTTACACTGACTTTTTGGAGGTTTTGGGTTCGAAAATTCTATAAAAACCAAGAAAAACGATCATTTTCCTGTAGTCTGGTTCCCTGACTCCATATAAGAAGAAACAGAGCAGTTTACATACATTGGGGAATTGTAAGGTCAGGGAACCAGTCTAGCTGGCTCGTACCCGTTCATAGGTTTGTAATCGATTGCAAACAAGTGCAATGGTCAAGTGGGGCCAGTATTTGAAAAAAAAGCCAGTTGTTTCCAACGCTGATCGGCCGATCAGCGTTGGAAATTGATACAAAAATACCACTTTTCTTGAAAATGACAGTATACCAGGTGCCATAATTTTACAGGATGCTTTAGACTGTCATTTACCAACATCCTGTTAAGGTATTTCGCAAAAACTTGGTAGTTTTATTTTTCGATGTTTGCAAATGTTGTATATTCCCTTTAAGTGCTTTTTAATCCGGGGCCACTGACCAATAAAAAAAAATGCAATTTATTTGTAAATAGAACATCAATAATGTGTATGGTTTTTTTTAATTCAACACCTGGTTTAAAGATTTATGATGCTTCTAGACACATACTAGCTTAAAATGCTTTTACAGAACACAGATGTACTTGAACTTTTCATCCAGCAGCAAACTTTGGTCTGACTCACAAACGTGCAAAATTGTTCTGCCCGAAATGCATCACAGTGTGTGTGCATGAGTATTTAAAGTACGTGCAGTACGTGCAGCTACATGTACATGTATTGGAAATAATAGATAGTCAACTGAATGAGCAGGACTACTTGATGTCTTTGTTGAAAGGAAATGCAGCGATGCATGCATATTCTATACAAGTTAGAGTCGGGAAAGGATTTGAATAATTATGCAGGAATAGCAGTTGTTTTGCAACTATTCATCCAGAATAAGAATTCACAACATTAATTCCTCAGCAGTGGTTCATGCTTCATAAGCAACATGCGTTCTGTTGACTTACAGCACAATAATAAGCCTCTGTACTGATGATGTCACACTTAGTTTACATGTGTGCTTTCTTATGGGAGCCTGGTGGGGACGATGGTTTCGTAGCCGCATAAACAAAGTGTGAGGTCATCTGTACAGAGGCTTATAAAATCAACACATCTAAATTTTCACACTTTGGAGGGTGCCAGGCGGGTTGCCTGTTTTCTGAAGGGTGCAGACCTGCAAATCAATCCCAATGGTAATTACGCATACTTCCAAAAATTATAACAAAAAAAAATACTCACAACTCTCTATGGTGTTTGAGACACTCATCAAATTATAGCTTGTTTCATCATCTTTCAGTTTCTGTTAAATTTTTTGGGGGTAATCTGATAACTTTTGGGAGAAATTGCCACCCGAAGATGACCACCCTCTAAATGATGCCTACACTCCGTTGCAAAATAGAGCCATTTTAACGACCCAATTCCAACCAAATTACAGAGAATTAAAAGCTTGATATCACTGGCACGGCTTCTGCCCTTCTTTTTTACAAACCTTCAAGTTCATGGCCCACAAAATGCTGTAAATAATAGCAAAGATTTTGAGGGTACACAAATTGTGATTTGGCTCACGTAGGCACCCTGAAGCCAGAAAACCAAAATACAAAATAGGCTTTGCTAAGCAGTACGTGATACATCATGACTGTGCTTTACTTATTATAGTGTAATATGTTGGACAAAATGCAAGAGCCATGTCATGTCTGCAGTGTGCCATAGTACTGTGGCTTTGTCTGGAAGTGGGCACAGTATGCATTACACAGCTGTAACTAATGTTCTATTGTGTGATATTGCGCACTCTCTGACCTGTACCAGGCTACTAGCTTTCACGTTATGATAACCCTTACCCTCAATCCTCCAAAATCCTCACTGTGGTTTAAAAAAAGGGGGGACTCATTATGCCCACCTCAAAACGGTTGTTACCACCTGTCAATTTTCTGAAAATTTTGCTGGTATCCTCCATTTGAACATAAGTGCAAAGAGGCCCTAGGGGGTAAGGGTTCGCGCAGCAAGGCATTAACACAGCCGAAAGATGATGCAATTTTGACCTGGGTCATGTATAATGCCATGGGACCGTCTACTCTTAGCCAATCTGCTCTGAACAACAATAATGATACACCATTGCAGCCAACTGCTGAACACACACGTGTGCAGTTAGTGAAACGGTGATTTTGACAGCACTATGGCATGTTGGGCTTCACATAAAAATGAACAGCATTTTTAATAAGGTTGAACTCTTAACAATATGACAAGTATAGACTTAATGCTTCCTGTCAATGGCCTTGCATGAATTGTGCAGATTATACAGCTAGTGCAAAGATACATGTATGCCTAGTGTACATTGTACATGTACATCACTACATGTATAGTTTAATAGCTGCACAGCCTTCCAAGTAATCTTGTTTTCTAATAAAAAAGGAAAATGACTCCCTGCAGGGCTAGTGCTGAGGCCAAAAACAAAAAATAGTTCTGCTTCTGATTACGTGGCATTTAAAAACAGGGTAGTACACATTTTTGGGGGGCAATTTTTGATCGTATGTGTATGATCATATGGAGGTGTCTGCGTGTAGTCAAGGGTAAAAGGTAGTGATTGATGATTTTCAGGGTTTTTTCCTCATTTTTCCTCCCCCCAAAAATTAGGGTACTGTCAGAATACCCGGTAGGCTAGGTAGCCTGAAGCAGAACTATTATTTTTTGTGGCCTGATGTAATTAGCCTGTGATCAGTGTGATGCGAATGAACCATGGCGCGTTTACAGTGCATGGCTAGATATGATATGATATGTAATTAAACATGGGCATCTTTGATATTTCTGATTCAGAACGTTCATCAGCCAAGCTTGGGGAAAGATATGAGTGCAACTTCAATGGCACGGACGGGGAGACATCAAAATTGCAGCGAGGAATTTGACCATACGAACTCTAGACAAAGTGATCAAAAGTCACAGGAATCAGAAAGTAATTGCCAGGAGAATAGTCGACAGTGAGCAGTTATCTTCATCAGTGTGACGGTGTACCTCATCTGTATATAGATTTTTACCTTTGTATATTTGGTAGGTAATACCCTTATTTTCATAATAATTCCTTCAAAGTTTGCTTCTTTTTTTTTCTTTTTTTATATGTATACTGATACTGACCATTCCTGTTTTCACTTTTTTTCTTCTAAATTTCTGTAAATATTATTACTGTTACTCTTTTTTCAATCAATTAGGCCTATTAAAATCAAACGTTTAAATTTTTCTGCAAGATATACAGGTCCCGCAAAAAATCTAACGGTTGAATCGGGCATGTTTTCAGAAAAGTGGGGGTAGTATTCAAAATCGTATCTTATGTATTGCTGAGTAAAATAATTGGTCTTCCAAATGTTTTTTAGTTGGTCTCATTAGGATGTTTTGTTTAAAAGATACAGCAATCACAATACGGGACTTGAAAAACCACTTGGGCCACTTTTTTTATTTATATCTCCTGGTCTTCCAAAAAAATCCTTTGTCCTAATGATAAACTGATAAGCTGCACTAACACATTTGACCCATCTTTTGTGTGTTTCTCTAACTGCGCTTTCTCACTTTCAAGGAAAAGTGGCCCAAGACGATTTTCAACCCTTTGGTTCGATGAAGCATTGCGTTTGTTCCAATGCATCGATTTGAGTGAAATAAAGTTTGTATGGTAGATTAGACAAATCTGACTTTAAGAGGTAATTTGAAAATATTCCAAAACTCACATGCAATATACCTTTATTAAAAACCCTAACCCTCCCAAATCCTCCCAAATCCTCTTTGCAAAATGGAGGATTTTGCAGGATTGAGGTAACATGGCAAAATTGTGTTGTTGATTTCGCAGGATGCACTGTGTCAAGTTCTTGAGCCGGACCTTGTGTTGTTTATGCTCAGCCGTGCATACATTTAGGCCTAGATTATACTTGCAATCCTGCTCCAGGATGTCACTGGCTCTGCCTCAACAAATTGACAGTGATTGTCAGAGGATTTTGCAGGATTGAGGCAGTGGTCACCCCTCTAAGAACCACATTCAAGAAATAACAGAGGATTTTGCAGTATTGAGGCTATATTCTGTTTTTAAATGGAGGCAGTTGGAAGATTTTGCAGGATTGAGGTTACATCCTTGCAAAAGTGCCTAGGGAGTTAGGGTTAATTGGTTTTCGACTGTTAGGTTCTTTGTGGGACAAGCTGTATGTGTAAGCATTATTTTCTAACAGATTTATTCATAAAAATTTGACATCTCTTGAATCTAAAGAATAATCAAATATCCAGAAATATCATACATTTATGTAAAGCATTCTGCTCATTTCTAAACAGAAAAACTTATTCTAATATTAGCTAATGTCTTTCTTTTTACTCTGCAGGACAAAGCTTCGTGCCTGAAATCCGTGCAATACCAAACTTTTGTACCAGAAAATATAAATTTTGTGAGGCAATTTCTCATGCCTAGAAATATTGATCAGATTTGGGTCTTTTCTGAGCATATGTAAAATCCTGGTTGTTGTTTTTTTATAAGTGAAGGGAGCTTTGAGCGTATAATCTTTTTTTGAAATTTCAAAAATAAAACGGTTGGGTTTTTGTTTTGGGGTGTTATTCCTCAATCAAAATGGTTGGGTTTCAACCTACCGAGATACCACCCACATTGGGTATGAAATTTATCAGTGCCGGCCTGGCAGCATGTATTGCTGACGCAGGAACGTTTCCCTTGGACACAGCAAAAGTACGACTACAGGTGAGATTGTAAAAACATTGTCTTGCAGTTTGTTACATGGTATACAAATATAACATGGTCTGAGGGTGGACAGTCGATATTAGCTCCCGAGGTATTGGTAGTTGACAAAGAGGGAACTAGTTTGTCAACTTCCAATGTCAAGGGAAGCTAATATCGATTATCTACCCGAACTTAACCGTGTTTAATACATTTGTTTTACTATACCTCATACATATTCAGTTGCTGAATGTTCCCATTTCAGTACGCACCTCGTGGGCATAAAATCTTTGGAGAAACTTGTTCAGTTCTTTTGCAATACAGTAACTCCTGGAAAACGCTAATTAACATTATGTGTAGCCATCATATTTATGTAGCCAGCTAGGGCAAGGTTCGCACGTGCGTACACCCGTGCAACAGTTCCACGATTGCATTGTAATGCGCATACAAAGTAAACTGTCCCACAGATAACCCGTGCGACAGTCTACTACATAGGCGTATTAACCATGTGTGAATACTCGCGTGTGCCCTTTTTAAACAGCAAAAATAGCATCCAGTACGTGATGGTGAATGGAGTGGACCCAGTGAGAATTGGCTCTTAATCACAAATATGTATGAGGTATAGTAATATGTGTATAACATAACTTAATGGGAATGGGAAATACTATTCAACAGTTAGGATAATTCTTGTTCCATGACAAAGTATTTGTGTGCAAATGCATGCTGGTGTGCGCATTTAACAATTGTTGACTGGTGTGATGTGGAATATGACATTTTGAAAACCCGAGGGGCGCATAGCACCTGAGACGAAGCCAAGGGTGCTATGCGCCCCACGAAAACAAACAGCAGTAAACACAACAATCATGACAATCGAACGTCAACTCACATGCATGTCGCGTGCTCGAAACAGCTTATAGTTTCCAAGTTCACTGCGTTTTACGTGTGAAACACGTATGTGTACGTACCGTACGCACAAAAGTCATAGCACACTCCCTGTGGGATATCCCACAGGGAGCGTGCTATGACTTTTTATAAACTAAACACATGATTGTTCTAGGTCAATGAAAATACAGTATTCAAGACAGAGGTATAACAATCAGTGTTGCGCGTAGCGCGTATTGTTCCGAAGAGCCAGCGCTATAGCGTTGGGTTCAAACATTTTCGTGAAGGGGTGGTGTGTAAGAGAGAAGTACAAGTCCCACCAATTTTGTATTGAAATAAAAGTTCAAATATATCAAATGACAAGGATCTGTATGTCAGTTATATAAAACAAATATTGACTGGCTTTAAATTGTGAAATGGGAGGAATTTTATCGCTCCGTAAAATCTGGACTTTCCAGTTCACTCAGCTTTCCCTTGTGAAATGGAAAAGTCTAGATTTTACCTTGCGATAATATTCCTTCCATTTTACTCTGAGCTGCTCAATATTTGTGTACTATGACCATCCTGCCTCTCACCTCCAAAATACACAACATCTATTTTCACTGTACGTATGCATGTCCCACTCAATCCAACAAGTCAGGAAGAGATATATAATGCAACTCCCTCTCAACAAAAATTAAATCTTTTTATAATGACATTTTCTTTTTCTATGATTTTATAAGATTCAAGGTGAGAGTTCTTCGGCTCAGAAGCAGGGTTTCTCCTTTTCCAAAGCCAAAGAAGAGAAAGCTAAATTCAAGTACCGTGGAATCTTCGGCACTATCACCACCATCATACGACAGGAGGGGCCTCGCAGCCTGTACAACGGTCTGGTACCCGGACTGCAGCGGCAAATGTGCTTCGCATCGGTCCGGATCGGACTGTACGATTCAGTGAAGCAGTTGTACACAGGTAGACACTTCGGCAACTCCGGTGGGTTTATTCTAGTCCTTGTTCTCTGTCATCATTGCGCTTGATTTCCAACACCACGCTTTTCCAATACCACGCTTTTCCAATCATGGAGACATTGCCTCAGTGACCGACGGTGCAGTGATCCAAGCTTGAGTTCTGTGTGACCGATTTCCAAATCGAAATTGATGTGCCTGGTGATGCGTAATTCCTGTGCATTGGCTCCAAGATTCATATTGAAAGAACTGAAATTGATCTGTCAACATTACAGAAAATTGTAACTTAATCATCAGATGGCGTGCTTTGAGCATCTTTTTTTGTCTCCTGTAAATTAACGAGACATACTTTCAGCTATGCGTGTCTGAAGACATTGCGAAATCCATTGCTACAGAAAATGTCGGCTTGTAACATACATGTGTACATCCATTCATTTATGGAGACTCAAGAAAAAGGTCTTCGTTCATTAACCATACATATGTGTATCCACACATTTTCAGTGAATATGATATTTCATGCCAACCTCAACAACTAATCCACTGCTTAGAAAAAGTAAAAAATTATGTCGTATTGGAACTATGGAGGTAGTCAAGTTTATAATTGACCAATGACAGCGCATTGTGGTGAAGATATAGGATTTTGATAAACCTGTTTTTGTATTCTTGTGTTCAGCTATATTTTCAATTGAACTCTTTTTTTTTCTTTTCAGCACATTTTTTCCAAGGAAGACACTTCAAATTGACAAATTTAATGGTCAGACAAGGGTACTTACAAAATGCCAAAGGTTTTAACATGAGAGTGAAATAAATGTAAATGAAACATGGCAAAAGAATCAACTTATTATTTAATTTTGGGAGATCTACTTGTATATTTCAAAAAGGGTATTTTGAAGTAAGAATACTAAATGCCAAAATAAACACCGCAACAAAAGAAAGTCCACACTCATTGGAGGGGTCACAATTTTGAATCTGATCGTCTTATGATAACGTCATTGATATAGACCTTTGGGAATGTTGTTAGCTACATTTTGATACCCCGTTTGCTACCAAAGACTGTAAATCATTCAACACCAAAAACAACGGTTTATGAACATTGATGCAGTTTGAAAAGTCGAGTGGAAATTGCTGCGTGACAATGTGACACTGCCTGAAACGAACGGCAGGGAATATGAAACGCACCGTGCTTGTATGCATGGAAGCACGTGGAATTGTTGGGGCACTGTACAGTCGATAGGGGCCAATGAATTACTGGCATGTTTGTTGGCGCTTAGCAATTTCTCCTCGTGTTTCTCTTAAATTGCAACTTTTCAAACTGCATCTCTTTTTAATAAACCGTTGTCAATCTTGGACAATGTACAGTTTTTGGTAGCAAACGGGGTATCAAAATGTAGCTAACATAATTCTCTCTATAAAGGTCCATATAAATGACATCAGTAATAAGACATTTAGATTCAAACTTATGACCTCTCCACTGAGTGTGGACTTTCTTTTTTTCCGGTGTTTATCCGAGAATGAGAAAAGTGTGGAGATTTCATCCAAATGTCCGTTAGTCACCGGACAGTTTTCTAAGTGAAATGACACGGAATTATCTGGCAGCAGATGTATTTCATATATGCTTGAAATCTGAAGCTTATTACATGCTTCATCTCTGTGTAACACTGGTTGCATTATATCACTGTTGCATTACATGGCCTTACTTATTTAAGACTCACCAACTTTGGATTTACATTCAGACATTTGTTAAACAGTTTTTTGAAGACATGTTTTGAAAAAGAGTGCAATGATGCTGTTGTCCTTTTTCCTTATTTTTTCTATTGGTGACTTTTATTCTGCTTCTGGTTTGTTTAAAGGTTACATGGGAATGCACATTGTGACAAGAATTTTAGCCGGTATAACAACTGGGGCCTTGGCAGTGTCATTGGCTCAGCCGACAGATGTGGTGAAAGTACGCATGCAAGCACAGACTAACATTGATCCCACCAAACCCAAGCGGTATACAGGAGCTGTGCATGCGTACCGGACGATAGCCCGGACTGAAGGCGTCAGGGGGCTTTGGAAAGGTGAGCAGTCTGTTGACTATAGGCCTGACCTCAAATCACACATGTTTATATAACTGACATACAGATCCTTGTCATTTGATTGGTGGAACTCACATCACATGACATTCATTATTGCTCATAAAGGTCGAGTCGAGTCGAGTCACAGTGTGTTGTCGAGTCGTCGAGTCAAGTATTTAGCTCGAGTCAATACGAGTCACAAATATTTGAACTCTATACAATAAATAAACACAAGAGAGAAAGTAATTTTTTTGGCTTTCTTTAATTTTACATTCGGGCTACTACATGTGGTGACATCATATTTGACTCTTAATGAAAATAAAAAGGGGGTGCCAGCTGATCGCCATTCAACTAATGGGGATACTGATCAAACACGTATGTATACGCGAACATACTATACGTGACGTGAACAGAAACCGGCACCGGCGTAAGTCATTGCAAATATTTTTCGCAAAGTTTTGGTTTTATTTTTAGGACTTGAGTCTTATTAGCCTTCCTCGAGTCGAGTCGAGTCATTCTGATGAGGGACGCGAGTCGAGTCAAGTCATTTGCTCGCAGTGACTCAAGTCGAGTCGAGTCATTTGCCTGTCGGGACTCGAGTCGAGTCGCCAGAAATTGTGACTCGAGTCGGACTCGAGTCGAGTCATTGACTCGAGACATTACAACTCTGTACCATTCACGCGGGGCTCAAAAAGTGCCATTCGTCCATGGTGAATGGGATTTACTATTCAACAGTTAGGATCATCTTTGTGTGCAAGTGCATGTTGGTGTGCACATTGAGCATTGCGCGTAGTGTGTATTGTTCCTAAGAGCCAGTAGCTATACAGAGTTGGGTTCGAGCATTTCGTGAAGGGGTGGTTTGGAAGAGAGAAATACATTTCCCACCAATTTTGTATTGAAATAGAAGTTCATTTTAACTTTAAATCAAATGACAAGGATCTATATGTCAGTCATATAAAACAAATATTAGTGGCTTTAAATTGTGAAGTTGGAGGAATATTATCGCTCAGTAAAATCTGGACTTCACGAGGCGAAGCCGAGTGAAATAGAAAAGTCCAGATTTTACCTTGCGATAATATTCCTCCCATTCCACTCTGAGCCACTCAATACTAATCCATGATTTGCTATAGCCCGAATTCCACCTTCTTTATGTTTTGGGGCAAAAACTCTAGCATTCCATCCTTCATAAGCCGGAAAAATAAATCCTCATATTGCGGGCTTGGAGAGAAAAACATGATAATAAAACCAAACAACCGCATGTTGTAATTTAGCCACTCTGCTGTGCATTGTTTGATCGTCGCTCATGAGCCAATAAGAAAATTGGTTATGTGCTATGTTTTGTCATCATACTAGACTCATACCAAGTGCACTCAATCAAATGTTTTTTCCTACATGGACACACAACATTCACAAGTGTGCAGTAAACGATAGTGTCAAAATTAGGTTCTTGAGCAGAAACCCACTGGACTAGTCTCAGACTCTAAATCAGCAGTTAGAAATTTTGCGGCGGTGTTCGAACTAAGCAGTCAAGTATTGCAGAAGTTACGTATAAGATGGTCCACTGTATACATTTTTTAGCTGATCTTATGGGGAAGTACCACACAGGGCAGGTGGTTGTATTCTCAATATTTATCGTAAGTCCGAAGTGCCTTGTTACATTATTCGATGACCTCTTATCTTTGCAGGAACAATGCCCAATATTACACGGAATGCTATTGTCAACGCTAGCGAATTGGTGGCCTATGACATGATCAAAGAGCGCATTCTCAAAACGGGACTTTTAGCCGACATGTTCCCCCTCCACTTCATCTCAGCGTTTGGTGCCGGGTTTGTCACTACGTGTGTTGCCTCCCCTGTGGATGTGGTCAAAACCAGGTACATGAACTCCCCACCAGGCCAGTACAAAGGAGCCATTGATGTAGCAGTCAAGATGTTCCGGGAAGGTGGTCCTCTGGCGTTTTATAAAGGGTAAGGTGGACTCTTAGGTCCATTACACTTAAGTTTTTACCTTTTGGGGGTACTTTTACTTTTTGCAAGTTGTCATGAATTCTAGATTGATAGGCCATATCTTAATTACTTGGCTACAGCCAGGAATAACGTGCACATCTATGGAAGCCATAGGCTAGTGGCTACAGCCACTTCCAATAGACTCGTGTGTTATTTTCGGCCTTAACCAAGTGATTCCATCCTAGCTGTAGTCTTGGTCAGCGGCTGGGTTTGGATTTTGCTCCCCTAAGGCAGCTGGTCTGTGACAAACATGGTCAAGCTGCTGTAGTGGTAAAGGCGCTATCAACAAGAAAAATCAAAGCCAGTATTGGGAATGTGGGCACTTGGACCTGGGATATTCCAAGCATACCTCATGTACAAACATTAGATTGATTTTAGCACGCATGAGATGAGGCAAGCTCAGAATTTGTCAGGTTCGGTGTCAAGGCTGCCAAGACTGGATATGATTTATCCTGTTGATAGTGCCCTCTACCAGCACAGTGGCTTGACTGTGCTAATCAGGGACCATGCAGCCGCATTAGCTGAGCAAAATCGGACCATGCTTGTTGGGGATCAGGACCGGCTATATTTTGGGAGCGTGTTGTCACGTCCTCTGGCACGAACTGGTTAAATAGAGTAGAATAAGAAGGTTTCAGCTGTGTGCATTGCAGTCGACCCATTGCAAGTCTAAATACATTCAAAGTGATGGACTAATAAGAAGTTGGATTGGGAAAAGGCTCGAACACAGATTCCAAAGAAAGAAACAATTTTTTTCCTATATGGACAGCAAAAACTAGGTGTGATGAAACTGCATTTTCAGTTTCTATTCATACACCTTTAAACTATGAATATGAACCTGGGTAAAGACACAAGAAGATCCGACGGAAATTATTAACGGTGCTTCTTAAGACGCACCGTTGGAAAGGCCTTCTTTCGTTGATTTCTTCAAAATGACAGCTTGCCAGAAAGAATAATTTCACAGGGAGTTTAGTCCCCTTACTATCTTTCAACCAAGTTTTTCAACAATAAATATGCCAGTTACTTTTTGGATAAATGCAAATGATGGACTCTGGCTTTAAAATTGCTATATCACCCTTTTCACCTTTCTAGATTCATGCCGAATTTTGTACGTCTTGGCTCCTGGAACATCGCCATGTTTGTTTGCTATGAGCAACTGAAGCGAGGCTGCGTAATCATGTTCAACTAGTCCCACCTGGCCTAGATGACCCCTGGGTCATTAGAGGTCAGTGACCTTCAGCTAGCAACATTCAAAGAGGTCCAACAAGTTGATTTATCAGTTAAAACCTAAACAAAGGTGAAGCATTTGGGAGGAATGAAGTTTTTAAAAAGCATTGTGCTGGATTGCTAGCTGAAATGTACTCGCTGTAATGTTGTGCTAATTGTAATGAGTGTACACTCAATGATGAAAGGGGCAATGGTTCTCAAGCTGATTTATGGAGTGTACTTTACCAGAGAGACACAACACCGGAAGTTGCTGGAATGTTGGCTGGCTGACATTGGACAGTGTAGACACTACTTTGGTCAATCAGTTTAGAATCTGTGTCCAGTGAATGCGAGTATTTCGATGAACTCCCAAAGTGACTTCTAAATTCTTCCATTTAAAAGCCATGCAACTCTGAAATTAGCTACTGAAAAAGCCATTTGCGAGTCAAATTTGAATAAAATCTTGGAACGCTGACTTAATCCAATGCTTTGCACACTTAAACTTTGCATTCTCCCGACCAAAGAGACTGTTACTATATCACTTGCTTCGGGGCAAGCCTTACGCTAGCAACCCCAGCTCCGGCATGGTCTGGGGTCTTTGTGCCATATTGGCCCATTGTGAACATATTGTATTGTATAAGATATTGGTGCTAAGCGTTTTATGTCACTATGCCAGAGCTTGCCCTGAATCATGCGATGCAAGAACAGTGTCTTAGGTCTGGAGATAAACAAAGTTAAAATGTGCCATTAAGCATTCTGAGCAAGTCAGTGTACCAGATGTTTTTCAAATTTAAATCCCAAAGGGTATAGGTCACTCGCAATGGCTTATTGGATTACACATACATGTAAGACATCAAAATTGATGTTTTTGGAGTTAAAATATGCCTGATTTCCTTTTTGGAGACGTTGGAAAGCAGGGAAGCAAAATTGACTTGTGTACTGTATTTCCCCACCAAGAAACTATACCATGGATATGGCTTCTTAGGCTAATCTTAGCAATGGATATCCCATAATAAAACCAGGACTGCTATTTGAATTGACCTCTATCAATGTGACTGTCGTAGGTGGGTGCTGGTTGCCTGAGTTGCTGGCTCCAAGCTCCAACAGAATATTCGGTGATTTGTTGGAAAATACTTCTTGGCTTTAATAAAGCAGTCAGAGAAAAGTTTGCAAACAAAAGTCAAAATATTAAATTCCCCTTTAATTCTCAACATCAAAGTTGACGTTTAGCAGTCTCAGTTGTATAGTAGCTTTGATTTGTGACCCTATTTTTAAATTTGGAAAGGGGAGGGTTGTTTTTTTAGTGGTGATTTTGTTGTTTTTATTTTCAAACTTATGCCGGGGAGTACTGGAAGAATTGTATTGGAATATGATCTAGCAAAATGGGATTCTTTTTTCATTTGTATCTAAATAATACCCAGAATGAGCTGTTTTTCGTACAAATGCACTGTGCTGAATATTTCATTTGGAATGTCTAATTTACTTATTGTAGACGGCCAGCACCAAAAGCAAAATTTCAGGATTTGAATGTAAAATGTTTTCATTAGAGTTAGCCAAAATTTTTTTTTTGACTAATAGCAGCTTTGAATCACTGCAAGAATGTTTACGTAAATTGGAGTGCCTCAAGTGCCTGTAATTTGCATAATCATTTGGATATTTTGTAAATGGATCAATTTAATGGCATCAGGAATCAGTGCTGCAGTTACAGGCAGTACTCGTATTGATTTTTGTAGATTTGTACCTAATGAAGATTAATGTAAATTATATTGTTCAGAAAAGTTAGTGTAAAAGTTATGCAGATATTTGTAAATATAAACAACGAGGCTTCGCCTCGCCTTGCTACGTGGGGGAGGTGACTTCACTGCCTGTCATCTGCTCCGTGTCCTCAGGCAAGTTCCCGGGCAACTCGTGAACACTCACACTCATACACGTGTACTCGTACCGCTGTATTATAGCGATGATTGAAGATGAAGTACATGTACATGTATGTATATGCACTTAACAAAAGCACAAACAAGAGAGTTTGACAATTGTTATAGACCATTTCATCGCCAACCAAGAACGCTTATTTCATGAAGCCATCTAGCAATGCTCTTGAACTTTCTTTGAAACAACAATGTTACAACAGTGCATGCTTGTGCATCTCTACATTAAAACGACATTCACCCTTATTTGGTTATGGGCTCTGTGAGCCAACAAAAGAGAGTCCTGAGGACGGTACACTCAGCGTGTAACTGGTTCACACGCGAAGTTTGCATGACTGCACAAGTGGGCCAAAGCTATTAGCTACAGCCTCTTCACTTAAGCGTCAGGCGTCATCGGCGTGCAAATAAGTTCGAATTCAGCTTGCGATGGTCTCCCAGACTAATCCCCGCCCCCAATAATTTTGGACCATTCCAAATATGCAGTGAATGGACCAGGAACCAATCTGGGTCTCTCACAACTCCCTTTTCTGACCGTTGAAGGGGTATAGGTGGACGGAGCCCATACTAAGCCACCCACATGTATCTGGCTAAATTTACCATATGATTTGTGAGAAGTGTGTTATGTGAGGCTGTGAAATAACTGAACTTGATGAAGTGGTCTACAGCAAGAATGTAAACTATAGTCTGTTTTAGTAACCAACTTAGTTTTATCCCGATACTACATTTATTACTGGCTGATATTTCAGAAACCATTCGGGCTTCATGATGCTGAAATTCATCAACAAAAATAAAGAAACCTTCTATTTTGACATAGAAGGCCAGTGCCCTCTTTGCCTTCCATGCATTTTATTAACACTCACCTAGCCTCAGCTTCTGAGCAGAGTTTTTTTAGAGAATAAAATAGTGGTGCATGTATATTAATTTAACAGATATTTTTGTAATCTTCTTATATTGTACAGCTGATCTGTTTTTTTTCTTCACTTGAATGGATTGTTGAGAAAGGGATTTCTCATTCTCAGATTGTTTACTTCATTGCCACTTACTTTGGCTATGGTGTGATTCACATGTGTCTCTCCATGGTCAACTTGTTAGACTAATTTTTTAAATCGTAAGACAAAATATAGAAACACAACTGTCATGGGAGACATATATAACTACAGCATTTATCCAAGAATAAATCTATTTATTAATATAAATTTAGCCCAGACAATGTTTTGCTCTTAAAATGAAGGCTTTTATCTATATATTAATAGTCTTTTCAATGAGATATTAATTTTTTTGTTTTCTCGATTTTAACGGCAAATTTGTTTTACAAACCTAGTGCCACTAAACTGGTACGACAGACCAACATCCCAAATGTCAAAAAAGGAGTTCTAGCGCCCCAGTTAGTGGGACTATTGCAAACCAATTGTCAGTTTTAACTTAAAATTGTAAAAAAAAATCTTTATTAGTACACACGTATTATTATTATTTTGCTGAAATTTGAAGTAACTTGAGATGGTACAAATTAATAGTGTAGCTGAAATTCCGGTGGCATCATTTTTCTATGGGGAACATGTGTTCAAATTTGTCTTCTTTTTTTCATTGTACAGTCATTCAAATATGCCCTGACTTAGGTTCGCTAGTAAGGTAGGGCCATAGTCTATATATAGTTGTCTAGAGTCGTCCTGTTATTATCTGATTATGTCCGAATGGGTGTGTTGAAATGAATTAACACATAACTTCAAAAGTTAGCATTTCGCTGTCAAGGTTTGACATATGTTCTTATCGTGTGTCTTGTGTTGTTATTAATATAAAGACAAAAGAAGTAGCTATTTCTTTATAACTTTGCGATCAACAGAGGGCGCTCTTACAAATTATAAGCAGTTAATTTGGCACCAAAATGTATTTATTGGGATGAAATTATGGAACATAGAAAAAAAGGCGGCGATTTCTTACACATTTTGGTAGTCTTGGTTTCAAGACCTTCGTGTTTATGTTTACCAAAATTTCTAGAAAGAATATATAGGTTTTCCCGGCCAATTTCCTAAAATGTTTATTCGCTTCTGAAACTCATTAATTTTCGTCTGAATTTGGGAATCACTCTGAACATGCGTGTAGCGATTCCATCTAATCGATGCATTGTAGCAAGTCTAATCCATGTATCCCAGCATGCATCACTCCTAACATGGCCGCTCACTGTTCGTAACTGTTCGTACGTGAACTCGTGTTGTCGTCCAATAAACCTGGAATAGTTCCCAACATATCGGAGTCTATAACTTTCTTCATGGTGTCAGTAAGTACAGGATTCGTTTCTTAATACATCATGGCTACTTTCGGCAATATTGGAGAGTTTTGTGAAAAGAAAGAGACGTGGGAAATGTACACTGATCGTCTCGGCGAATATGGGTCGCACTAAACAGCGTCAACACAGCGTCAACACAGCGTCAACACATGACAGAAGCGTCAACACACCGTCAACACATCTAAAACACATTCTGAATTGACAAAAAGGGCATATAATTGTGAAACATACAATAAAAGAGAATTTCCATTGGATTGAGTTTCCATTTCGTTGTTAAAAATATCGTATTTTCACGCGAAAAAAATGACCTTAACTTGCACGGCCGTTGTCCGCCATCTTGACTTCGCACAAAGCTTGGACTACACCATTTCAAGTAGGGGTACGGTGTGAAGGTAATGACATTATCTTGTCATAAACAACAGAGGGCGCCTTGCTGCAGACTAGACAGAGGGATACCAGATCTGTGTGAGGACTAAGATCGGAGGAGTGGCAGATCATTATTTTGTGAGTTGTGTTTATGTTTTGGTCTTTGCAGATATTTTTAACACTGGCGACCCCGGCCGCGTCCCTCTCTGTTGGTTTATTGTACAACGCTATCACCCTTTAGAATAATGGTATGGTCCGCGCTGCCACTGAGGCAACATGGCGGGTGTTCGGCAGCTGATTTCGGAGCGGCACGGAGAGCCAATTTTCTTGAACTAAAAATCGCGATTTTCAGACGTTTAACCTATTGATTTTAAGCACAAATCTTGTTTCTGTCCATACTGTATGGGTTACATACTGCTTTTGTCAATTTTAATGCATTTTGGATGTGTTGACGCTGTGTTGACGCTGTGTTGACGCTGTGTTGACGCTTTGGAGTGTGTTGACGCTGTGTTGACGCTGTGTAGTATGACCGGCGAATATTTCGCGGCGAACAATATCTCCGACGCAGCACGCAAAAGGGCCATACTCAACTCTGTCGTTGGTTCACAAACATATAAGCTGATTAGCGATCTTCTTGCCCCTAAGAAACCAAACGAAGCTACATATCAAGAACTAGTGGACAGACTTGAGAAGCATTTCAAACCCACAAAGTCTAGCATCATTGCTCGCTTTCAATTCAACAGCCGCTGTCGGCGATCTGGTGAATCAATCGCCGAATATTTAGCTGCACTACGTGCACTGGCCAGTGACTGCAAGTTTGGCCAAAACCTTGATGAAATGCTGAGAGACAGACTTGTGTGTGGCGTGCAGAATGAACGCATCCAGAAATCCCTGCTTGCCCAACCAGAGGACAAACTTGACCTCAAGCGCACAGTGGAACTTGCACAATCAATGCAGCTCGCAGGTGATCAGGCAAAGATGTTGTCAGCCTCTACCAGCACAATGGCTGAATCAAATACCACTGTCAACGCTTTCAAAAAGAAACAAGCTCAACGCCTAAACAGACCAACATGGTCAAATCAACGGCAGACATCTGCACGCAGTAGTTCTACACAGCAGCAAAAGCCCAGAAAACCTTGTGGAAATTGTGGAACTTTTCACAAGAGGCGCGAATGCCCAGCCTATGGCAAGACTTGCCACAAATGTAACAAAAAGAATCACTATGCTGATTACTGCAGAAGCAGCCGCCACGTCTACACAGTAAACCCCGATTCATACTCGGAGGAAGATGAACCTGCCGTGGATGAGCAAGAATTATTTTACGTTCGAGCCGTGGACAACACCAACTTGAACTTGAAACATGACATCCACGCTACGCTTGTGGTGAATAACACACACGTTCCTGTCCAACTTGACACTGGTGCACGTTGTAACGTCCTGCCCATGAATGTTTACAACGTCATCGCACCACCTAAGTCCATTGATAATTCAAAGTCAACCAAGCTAATCGCTTATGGAGGAACCGAGCTCCACACAGTTGGACTAGCTACACTGCCATGTCGCATTGACTCATCGCAGACTGAACACAATATTGACTTTCACATTGTTGACACACAAGTGAAAGCTATCCTCGGCTTAACCGATTGCCTCCGTCTAGGCCTGCTGTCTGTCAATAACTTGGTTTACCATGTCTCCAATGACACCACATCGCCTCAAGTCTTCAAAGACTACGAAGACCTGTTTGACAGCTCGCTCGGGTCACTACCAGTCATCTACACCATGACCATAGACCCCAATGCTACGCCGGTTGTCCGACCCCCACGTCGCATCCCTGCTGCAATGCAAGACAAGGTCAAGTCCGAACTGCAACGGATGACTACCTTAGGCGTGATCACTCCAGTCTCCGAACCGACAGACTGGGTTTCCTCCATGGTCGCGACTCATAAGAAAAACAGCGAAGAAATCCGCTTATGCATCGACCCTCGCGACCTTAACGGAGCACTGAAACGCCCACACCACCCTACCCGAACAGTAGAGGAAGTCGCTGCCAAGATGGATGGTGCGACAGTTTTCTCAGTGCTTGATGCTAAATGCTCGTTCTGGCAGATCCCCTTGGATTACGAATCATCACTGCTGACTACATTCAGCACGCCATATGGCAGATACCGCTATCTTCGCATGCCCTACGGCCTCTGTTCTGCCTCCGATGTGTACCAGAGAACCATGGAGCAGATATTCGCCGATCTGCCATGCTCCATCATCGTAGATGACATACTAGTTGGTGGACGCACTAAAGAGGAACATGATCGAAACCTCAAAACTGTCCTTGATCGGATACGCAAAATCAACATGCGCCTCAACCCCACAAAGTGCCGCTTCGGTCTTGAACAAGTCTCATATGTCGGTCACGTCTTCACCGCCAGTGGACTTAAGCCTGACCCAGCTAAAGTCAGTGCTATCACCGACATGCCTCCACCCACTGACGTTACTGCCCTACAACGCTTCCTTGGCATGGTGACATACCTGGCCAAGTTTGTACCCAACTTGAGCGACTTAACAGCCCCACTACGCGAGCTCACACATAGTGACATCCATTGGTGCTGGCTAGAGCAACACAATGCCGCATTTCTAGCAATCAAGGACAAGATTGCTAATGCGCCGACACTCATGTACTTTGATGTCCGCAAGCCAGTCACGTTGACCTGCGATGCCTCCAAGTTTGGCCTTGGCACAGCCTGCCTACAAGAGGGTGCCCCTGTCGCGTATGCTTCACGTACCATGAGTGACACTGAACAACGCTACGCACAGATTGAAAAAGAACTGCTTGCAGTTGTGTTTGCCTGCACCAAGTTCCACGACTACATATACGGTAAAGACATCGTAGTCGAAACTGACCACCAACCATTGGTCACCATCGTCAAAAAGCCTCTGCTGAGTGCCCCTGCGCGGCTTCAACGCATGCTTCTCCGGTTACAGAGGTATAACATCACCCTCGTGTACAAGAAAGGAAAAGAATTGTTCCTTGCCGACACTTTGTCACGTGCACCCTTGACAACGACCGGTACTGAAACTGATGACCTGCAAGTCATGACCCTCCTGCCAATCTCTGACATGCGACTTGAACAGCTCAAGAAAGCAACTGCCTGTGACTCTGCCATGCAACAGCTCACTGTTGTCATCAGTCGCGGATGGCCTTCGCATATCAACAATGCCCCACCAAAGGCCCACCCCTACTTCGCGTTCAGAGATGAACTGGCTCTCGACCGCGGTATCATCTTAAAGGGACATAAGGCCATCATTCCCAAGTCACTACGCGCAGAATACATCCAAATACTGCATGAAGGTCACCCGGGCATCGAGGCTACCAAACGCAGAGCCAGAGATGTAGTTTACTGGCCATCAATGTGCCTTGATATCGAACAGTCCGTCTCTGGATGCACAGTTTGCAACGCTACCAAAGCCCATCAACAGAAAGAACCACTGAAAAGCTACCCCCCACCCAGCCTACCATGGGAACACATTGGAGTTGACCTATTCCATTGGAACGGTATGGATTACCTAGCCCTTGGTGACTCATACTCCGGCTGGTTTGACTTCGCTTCACTCGACAACACCTGTGCCTCTACAGTCATTGAGGTACTCAAGAGACAATTTTCCATCCATGGAATCCCCCGCATCGTTATCAGTGACAACGCGCGACAATTTGATTGCTTCGCCTTCAAACAATTCGCACAGTCATGGGGCTTCCAGCATACAACCAGCAGTCCCCATTTTCCCCAGTCCAATGGCCTTGCAGAAAGCTCTGTCAAGCGCGCCAAACAACTCCTCGAGAAGACAAAACGCGACGGTTCAGACCTCTACCGAAACCTGCTGAACATTCGCAATGTCCCAACCAACCCCCAGCTTGGCTCACCTTCCCAACGTCTCATGTCACGGCGTCTTCGCACAACCATCCCTACCCCGACGCCACTCCTTAAACCCGCCATTTACACACGCGTCACAGCACAGTTACGCAAGAGGCAACAGCAACAGAAGTCTACATACGACAAATCAGCCAAGCCCCTCCGACCACTGAAACCAGGGCAAGTTGTTCGTCTACAATCACCCAAAGGGCACGACCAGCTTGGAATTGTCCAAAAGCATTCCAGAAACCCCAGATCGTACATCGTCAATGCCCAAGGCACACTCTACCGCCGCAATCGGAGACACTTATTGCCAGTCCCTGAACCACCTCCACAGCAACAACACTCACCTGACTTCTACTTACCGCCACAGGATCCACTGCCTCAGCCTGCCATCCCCCACGCACCTCCACCACAGCCAGTTCTCACTCGCTCCGGTCGCATCTCGAAGCCAAATCCTAAATACATGTACACTTAACAGTTTTGTGTGACTGTTATTGCTTTGCCCGCACTGGATTTGTGTTGTTGATCCAAATTTTAAGCTGATAACTTTGGACTGTCCCCGACTACTGGACTGTTAGTAACTCCATTTGCCTACTCAACATGTGTTATGTGTTGTACACTACAGAGATGAGGGCAGAATAATCCCTTGTACACACATCGAGTACTGAGGGCATTTGAGTTTTGTTTTTGTTTTTTTTACTATATTATTGGTTTAACCCTCTGTTTGTTTTTTAGAGGAAAGGATAGTAATTGTTTATCTTGGTACATTTACATAACCAGTGTGTTTTTTAAATATTCATTAAGTGTTTTCAAATCAGTGAAATACTCGGACTTTAAATTACCAGACTCCAGTTTACAAATTCACTGATCAAACAAATGTTTATTTCATAAAGCTGTTTTATTCAAAATGTTAAAACTAAACTTAGAAGAGAGGATGTAGCGATTCCCATCTAATCGATGCATTGTAGCAAGTCTAATCCATGTATCCCAGCATGCATCACTCCTAACATGGCCGCTCACTGTTCGTACGTGAACTCGTGTTGTCCAATAAACCTGGAATAGTTCCCAACATATCGGAGTCTATAACTTTCTTCAATGCGTTTCATTTTCGCTACCAGAGCATTCGATTCCATTTCAGTTCAATCAATTAAGGGATTGAGCAGCACCTTTCGTTTATGGTCATTCAGATTCGTTTAAAAGACTTCGTTTTCGCTTTTAGAGGACGATTTCAGACATTGACCATTCAGGGCACTTTGATTGGTCACCTGGATTGGTGACTAATCAAAAGTGCCCTATGATTGGTCTGTCTGATGCTTGCCAGGAAACAGTGTAGCCAGAGCTATGAACAAGTCTGCTTTTCCTGAATTCAAAGGTATTTGTATTTTCACTTCCCACTGAAGCCTATAGGGGCGCATAAGGCAGTTTGAAGACCGTTTTGGGGGTGAAATCTGACGATTTTGATTGGGGGTACGAGTGAAAATGGTAAAAAAAAAATATTAGTAACCGCAATACGGCCATCGATCTCAGACTCTACTATCGCCCGACCATGTCCAAATGATGAAAAGCGATCCGTGTGAAAGTATACATAATGCATACGTAACTTGTCTTGGTTCATAAAATCGCCCTTTTAGGTTTAAACGAAACCGAGGTTTCATAACCCTTCCGAGTTCCATCAATCCGGGAGCGTTCATCAAGGGTCACTTTTTTTTTTTTAAACTTGTTGATCTCGTCCTTAACAAAAGCCTTTGTTGATAGAATACTGTACTGTTGAATTTAGAAATTGAAATCAACAAAAATAGGTTAACTGAATGGGGATTCATTTAAGCGCCTCCCACCAAAACCAAATGACCAATCTAAAGCCTCAGCTGGTTTCATCGGATGTACAACTGGCACTGGTTTCTCTTTACTCATCCATCTTTGCAGCGGCGGCGGAACGGTTTTCAAACTTGGGGGGGGGGGGGTGATCTCCAAAATGGGGCAGTTTGCTCAGTAAAAGGCATCTTCCGTCGGTGCAACAGCGTATTTAGCTTTTTGGGGGGGGGGGGGCACATCCGTGCTGAAATGTCGACACGAGTTTTCACCGGACAATCTTCCAAAATAGGGGGCGCTCTTCAAAACCGGCCATTATGCAAACTAGCTATGCATTATGTGCCCATTCAAGTTTCAGGGCGCATTATAAGGGTTTTGGGAATTGGTTTTCATATAACTCGTTTATATCAGAACTCTCTCTACCATTTTGGGAAATGGTTACTTTTACTGAAAACAAATTATCCGAAATTTTGGGGCCAGTTTTGTTTTCATGGTAAGCGGGAAAATGTAGTGTTCGAGGGGGCACATCATGTCCGCAACGGAGAGGCACTTGGGTAAATCTGGGCCTGGGCATGGGCGTCGCGGGGGGGGGGGGGCAAGGGGGGCGCTTGCCCCCCCCCCCCGGAAAAGCGCCCCCCCCCCCCCCAAAAAAAAAGGGGGGAAAAGGAAGAAAAAAAGAAAAGAAAAAGAGGCGCGAAGTCATAGTGGTGTAAATTTAATGAGTAGGGGGGGGGGGCAAAATGTCCCTGCCCCCTCTAAACTGATAAATCGAGAATTTGTCGAGAAATACATGATTTTTTTGGGAAAAATATGTTTTGCCCCCCCTCTAGAAAAAAATCCTGGCGACGCGCATGGCCGGGGGGGGGGGGAAGTGCAACCCCCCCCCCCCCCCCACAATGTTTCAAATTGGCAAAGGCCAAGAAAGAACACTATTGCACATCATATTTTCAATCAATGCATAACTTATACAAGGTCATCCGCTTTTCATGCATTTTGTTCGTTTCTAATAATAACATCACACAAATTCCAAAGAAGAACATCAAAGCCTATATAACCAGTTAATATGTTGACGGTTCAGCTCATCGGGGGCTATTATGCTTTTCGAGAAAACAGTGAAAACAATATTTGATTTGATCACGAAACACAATTTCGTCAAAGGAACTCTTTATTTCTAACGATGAGTCACTTGATTAATCGTTTGAAATCACCTATATACATTTCTTTATTTCTTCTGGTGTTTTTTTTTTATACCAGTACGTACGATCTTTAATATAAATAAGTTTTTTTGATAATAATTCGGTAGGTTACTTTTTGGATCAATGCTATTGATCATAATATATGCCTTTAATATTATAATGCTTTGCTTACAGTACACAGGCCATAATTAAGTGTTTCGTAGGCCCTAGGCACCAGTGTTCCGTAGGCAGCTACTCCGTCCTATGCTATTAATGTACAAAGCACTGTATAGCCTTGGTCAAGGCGCTAGTTGTTATTCATCCGGCTGTAACGCGGTAAACGATATCTTCGCTAGCGCTATGCATGCAATCATAATTATGTCTATGCATGCAGTGCATTAAATACAGCGGGAACAGCGACCTCACGCGGCCACTATTTTTATGCAAATCAGTTGGACCCAATCTAGCGCCTTGGTTCAATCGTCCATGTGAGGTTTTGGGGGTGTGTTCATTATGTTAATAGCCTTAGCTGACTTTAAATGTCGTTTTCTTATTGGTTGCGTGGAAACTTGCATAGTGAAACGTGGCACCGTACATAATCCATACACGTACACGTTGTGTGTCTCTGCACACGGCACCAATGCACAAAAACTGTGGTTCCTGTCACGTCCGCAAAAGATGAATAGCTGCAAATACAACCTCGTCCCCAGGGTGTCGACCAGTATGCGCCCACCACTACCTGCTCTCTCACCCTGGTATTGGATGTGCCAGATTGCATGTGCCAGATTTTTGCACACGTATGCAAATTAGGAACAGTCTGGTGCCTGGATATGCGTTACACATTAGCGTTTGTTTTTGTATGCGGTGTCTGGGGTAAAAACAGAGTCAATTCGTAGCAGCGCGAGCACGGCGTGAGTTACGAAAACACGATTTTTGAAATCAAACTGTTACGATCTAATCGAGAAAACATGCAGTATCATATTTCATATTAATATGAGCAAATTGGAAAGGAAATTAGTATTTTCGAGAAGGCGTGGACGAATGATCGCGAAAACACGTACTGCACGTTGTGAATATATAGCACCAAGTACACAATAAAAATCCATTACTAGCCAATTGCGGTATCCAATCAGGATACAGGAAGAAAGTTTCCTATCCAGGGTTTACTATTGGAAACACGGTTGGAAATAAAGTAAGCACTGGGGACGAGGTTGCTGCAAATAATTTGATGACGTCCGGATTTACCAAGGTGTGATTGGACACTCCACATATTAGCCCCGCCTACACTTATCTGTATTCGCATACGAGGTCGTGCGCTAGAAATCCAGCGCAAAATAAAGAAAAACATAAGCTTTTGCCGACGATTGAACCAAGGCGCTAGATTGGGTCCAACTGATTTGCATAGAAATGGTGGTCGCGTGAGGTCGCTGTTCGCGCTGTATTTTTAATGCACCGCATGCATAGCGCTAGCGAGGATATCGTTTATCGCTCTACGGCCAGGATGAATAACAACTAGCGCCTTGACCAAGGCTAAGCACTGTACAAATCAAGCCAGGCCAAACTGGTATAGGTCATAGCTCTAAAAGCCTGTTTTCATAAAAGGCGTCATTCGCTTCTCAAAAGTGGGGATAGTAGGCATACATGCAATCCCCATTGTGTATCTTGATCAGAACTTATGCGAGTGTGAAGCCTAAACGGCGTGTGGTTCGGGGCCCGCTTATTGGATTCTAGAGGCTCTGTACGTGGTGCGATCAGAGGCAATTTTTGACCACTTTTAACCCAATTTGTTTCATCATTTAAACATCATTTTCGAGTTTGGAGACATTTAATTAGCTATTTGGAGCTATTGAATCAAATGTATGCCACAATTTATTACTCGGGAACGAAAATAGTTGGGGGACGACATGTCCCCCCGTCCCCCACCGATCGACACCCGTGGTTGTCTCCGTGCTTCAGAACGACAGACTAGACTTTACACGTAAATATTATACTCCCGTATACCTACATGTAGGGCCTATGCCAAGATGCTGTACAGCGTCAGTTGGTGAAATCGAAAATTCTGAAAGAGAAACCTTAACAAAAAGTTTTCTCTGTGTAAGGCGTTGGTATTCGTGTTCATGGTGTAAATCGAGGACACGCACGTACAACATCATCGATGAATTGAGGACAGGAACCAAATCGAGAACGACCTCGATTAGAAAACGTGTACAAAACCAATGAGAGCTGTTGCAAAAAAGTTAGAGTATAAACAAAGGAAAAGGGGAGAGGATCAATAGAAAATCCTCGAGTTACACCATAAACAAACCTGCGTGTGTGTGTGAGTTTGTTTCTGCATTCGGGGGACGTTGAACAATAGATGACAAAATAATAGGGTCCCCAATTCCCAAAGGTCCCCAATTTGGCAATCGTGCACAAAATATAATGGGAGGTCTTCCTAAAAAAAGTACAAACAAAAGAGGGGCAATAGGGGTCCCGATTGCAAGCAAATACACACTTGTGTGTGTAGGTCCTTTTTATGTGCTTTATGGCATACCGCGGTATTTTCGTAGGCCCCCAAATGTTTTCGTAGGCCCCCCAATATTTCGTAGGCCCTAGGCACAGTGCCTGCTGTGCCTATTGGGTAATCCGGGCCTGACGGGACAGGGCTCGCGTTATTGTTATCAATAATTGTTTTGGGGGGTTAATATATATATACACATGGTAATAATTTAGGTAAGCTGCCGGCAGTTCGTTCCAATTAACGTTTCGATAAGACAGTGGGCTCTCGGGACGCGGTCCGTGACTAATCTACACGTTTTTATCTTTCATACTGGAATCTTTCTCCAACCTTTGCATTGTTGCTAAAAATGGTGAGCATTATGTAACATCTGTATACATTGGCAGATCACCGAACATACACCAAGTGATGTTTAACCACTGCAAGATGCCAGAAATAACATCAGAAAAGTTGATAGCCATCGTTTAATCCTGTTTTTTTAGCATTACGAAGATAAGACTCGATGTACATGTACAATGTATATCTGTATGCAAACGCGCATAGGCTCTGAGTGAAGCGCATACTCAGTGCCATATTAGCACCGGTTCACA